TTTCAAGACCTTGTAGAAGGCCAGCAGGATCAGGCTCATCTAATGCTGGAAAGAAAGAGAGTCTAAAGTGCAGGTACCATGGCATAAAGCTCTCCTCCTGAGTCCCGCCAGCTGACACGCCTTAGTTGCTGACTATGGTCAGCATGTGGAAGTCATCCTGTTTTATCTGTGATTATACTGAAAAGGAAGATGTTGGAAGCTGCAATATAGGTGTGTAGGCATCTCCCAAATCTTCAGACCACTGTCATGAAATAGGAAGATTTTAAGAAGGAGCTGATTCTTATCACAAGGAATCAACCCCAGAGATGAATATCATCAGTATTGGTCAACACTCACTCAAAATAGATGTTAAAAATCTATTAGTTTCTCTGAGGAATTGGGAGGCTATCGAAGGAAAGTATCACTTCAGTGTATTTGTTGTACCAATTCTGTGGAAAAATTGAACAAAACTTGAAAGTCACATTAAGCATAAAGGTGTGGAACAATGTTGCAGCAGCTGTGGCCACTGTAGCTTGTTAAAGCCTAATAGGAAGTAAGGACTATAGAAACATTTTATAATATATATCCCACCTTTATTTTCTACAAATAACTCAAGAAGGCAAGCATATCAAACACAGTTTCCTTCCCCCCTCCCTTACAACAAACTCTTGCTATTCTTGCTACATAGAATTTTTTCAACATTTTACCTAACTCAACCATATCAACAACTGGTTATCAACGATTTGATAATGAATGTCCAAACTGTTGTTATCCATCACAGAGTATTCAGAGTTAAGCATATTCTGTTTGGAATCCCTGAAATCCCTAAAAAATTCAACGTTTCATGGAGATTCCACATTTTTAGGAAGTTCAATACTGTGTTATACTGTGATAATATTCTGGTTTGGCAATCCATAGGGTAGGAACGTGATCAGTGTGGTGTTCATTAAAACGGCAACAAAAATGGAATTTCCTCTATAGCTTTCTTAGGTGCCTTTATTGATGCTTTGGCGTAGTGATCTAATCAAGATTAAATGTTAGCAATGCTTGATGCTCCAAAATTAAACAGGAGCTTCAGGTTCCCTAGGGTTCCTTAATTTTTATAATGAAAACAACTTGTGAATCACTTCATCACTGTACTAGGCACTTCATCACTTGCTACACAAATAAATTCTGTGACTGTCTTATAACTTGGATCAAAACTCCAGAAGCAATACACTCATACAGGCCATTTTTCTAATCCAGAGGTCTCCAAACTTGTCAACTTTAAGATTTGTGGACTTCAACTCCCAGAATTCCTGGGAGGAATTCTGGAAGTTGAAGTCCACAAATCTTAAAAGTTGACAAGTTTGGGGAGAGCCCTGTTCTAATCGATCAGGATTTTAATATTTTTCCAAGAATTTTGGCAGTGTGGATATGCCTTCCTGTTTATGCTCATACTAGAGAGTTGTGTGAGTTTATTGATGTGGCCTCATGCTAGAGGCATTGAGAACTGCCTCCCCTTAAAGGAGATGTTTTATAGCTTTAGATGTTACGTTATGTACTGACCACTAGGACTAGGTACTACATAATCAGCTTCATCCTACTTGGGATATTTCAGATGTAGGTATCCTCCATACTAGATGATTGGTGTTCAACCTTTAACAGAATTTGAATCCGTAGGCCTTTATTGGCTTCACAATGCACTTCGCTTTGGGAGTTACAATGGCTTCCTTTTACTGTATGATATCATACTATATATTAAGCCTGCTACTTACTAGTGCATCTATGACAGACTGGTAAACAAGAATGTGGGCAGGCAGATGGAACCAGTCTCCCTCTTTGTACAAGGAGGTAGTGCTTTACCTCCCTTCAAGCTAACTAGGAGAAGGAAAAGGTGTCATTGCCCTGACTATAGCATGGGTGTCAAACTCACCACATGACGTTACCGTCATGTGATGTTTCATGACATTTTCCCCATTCGCTGAGCTGGTGTGGGTGTGGTTTGTGTGTGAAGGACGCATCTGCCCTGCAGGTCGCCAGTTTGACACCCCCGGACTATAGCATTGTTTCCTTTTTTTCTATAGTAAATATAAGACCAACATTGTGTGAAATATTCCTTTTTATTCTAACACTGTCAACACACATTCACAAACTGACATAAGGACACTTCTATCAACTCCTCCCTAATTTTTCATTAACAACTTTTAGCAATGCAGACAAAAGATGGGCATGTCATGTTAGGTAGCACAGGTATAAGTTCTGAAATAGGAAATCAAGCCAACATGGTATACAGTTAAATATGCTTCCTCTCTTATTAGTGATTATGATTACTACTTATCCTGCTTAGCAACAAACTACTCATACATTTGAAATTTTTGTTTTGTGTCTCTGTATGTGCATTTTATATTTGGTTAAGGCATCAGTCTAAAAACTGGGAAGCCATGAGTTCTAGTCCTACCTTTGGCACAAAGCCAGCTGGGCCAGTCACTTTCTTTTAGCCCTAGGAAGAAAGCAAGGGCAAAGCATTTTGAAAATCCTTACCAAGAAAACTGCAGTGATTGTCCTGGCAGCATCCAAGAATTGGACGCAATTGAAAGGAAGAGAAAAAAAAATACAAAACATGCAAGTAATACAAAACATACAAGTAATACAGACTTATCAGTTCAACCTTTTATGGTGCTTTCCCCTAAATTGTGGTTTCAGTTCCCTTTTTTAAAGAATTACAAATTTGAGATTCACAAAGAAGGGCTGAGGAAATGGATTTGGAGAAGCCACTGCCTCCTTCCTTTATTGCAGAACTGATTTTCCAGATCAGTTTATTTGTTTCTTGCTCATGCTTTCGTGCCACTTTCCTCTATACTAGAAAGATCAACACAGGAGCTGAGAGGAATGGCAAAGAGTAATCCAGAAGTTGGCTTTCCAAGAGAGCTTGAAAAGAAACTGCTTTTCCCTGCTCCTCCATCCTCTTTCCCTTTGAAAAAATTGGGAGCAAGAAAGCAAAGGGAAAGAAAAGGTGTATAGAGAAGGAATTAACACATATCAAAACCATAATTTGATTTACCAATTAAAGATGAAGATGGGGTGATTAAATGAAGAAACTTAAGAAAACTCTCTGAATGAATGGATAATTAGATAGCTAAATTACATTGTAGTTAAGTTGTGATTACAAATAAAGGAGATAATAGTGCTACATATTAGAACATATTCATAAATTCACATTATAACAATAGTTGGAAGACCACTATTTTGATTATTTCTTTTTTAGTTTGCAAAATATAAAATATTGATAACATTTAAATATACTAAAAATCCCACAATTAAATGAAACATTCTTTACATTTAAAGAAACAATAGACTCTCCCAAAAGCAGTAAAGCATAAAAAACTGCAAATAAACTAAAAAGAAAGAAAAAAAAATATCTACCTTATTTACTAAACATACTAATTTTTTACTGATTTGCATCAACTACTATGATCTTTTTTAAAATATCCGTATAAATTATCACGAAGTATCTGTCAAAGCAGTACATATTGTTTCATCTTTTGCATAGTTGAAAATACAGATCATCCTCATTTGGCGACTGCTTTGTTTAGGAATTGTTTGTAGTTATGACAATGATGAAAAAGTCACCTTATGACCAATCCTCACATTTACAACTTTGCAGGTCTGTAAAGCGAAGGCAAGCTGAAACTCGTAAGCATACTGTTTCTCTCAGTGACTCTCTTTCGTTAATGGCCAAGTTGCTAGTTCCAACTGTGATCACTAAATGAGGACAACCTGTATCGCCTTTCCCAAAACATACTTTAACAGTCATTCCTTAGCATCTGAAATGACATCACTTTCCCAGTTTTTCAGGATGATTCTTTTAACCATGACCCCCATGATAATTCCCTGAGAAAGTCAAACTGCAAAACATCGGTGTTATACTTTAACATAAACTTTTTTAACATTTAAATTTTTTCCCATAAATCCGCACTTTGACTTATATACCGCTTTACAGTTTTTTTTTAAAGCCCTCACTAAGCGGTATACAGAGTCAACATATTGCCCCCAACAATATGGATCCTCATTTTACGACCCCTTGAGCCTGGTGAGATTCGAACTGCCAAATTGCAGGCAGCCAGCAGTCAGCAGAAGTAGCCTGCAGAAATAGCCTGCACTTTAACCTCTGCACCACTGTGGCTCAGTGGCTTATACGTAAAATATCATTCCAAAATGATACCAAATAATCACAAGACCATATCTTGTGTGTCTATGAACCCTCAATTTTCAAAGGAAAATTTCATGTCCGACCTTTAGGGAGTCCAATACACTCACATAGCAATTTACTCTAATTTACCTTAGTTTCAATTGCAAAACTGTTGGTACCATTTAAACATTTTTAAGCACACAAAGCTAACAATAGGTCATTATCAAAAATTCTAGTTCTTAGGTCAATTTGGAATATCCCAAAATGTCCTCTTTAAAAATATTTTTCAACTTTCAATAGAAAGATGTTGCTGTTTTTACTTCTATCGTGGATAATTCAGATAATAACAGCATCTCAAGCAGGAAGTTGTTGTAACAAGAAAGTACAATTAAAATCCATAAGTTCTTTTACTACTTTTTCATTTTCTGCTGGAATAATTTTGTTCTTACTAAGAATTAGTCCAGTCAGTCACTGTCACCGTAATTGATTAAACCTGTTCTCTCTCTTGCTGAAAGAACATTTCTTTCCCGGATTGATGAAACCTGGAATCAGGGAAGAGTCCAAGCTATGAAATCAAAAGATGAAGGAACACTAGTGGGAGGGGAGCGCTCAAATTTAAAACTCAGTATTGCCTATTCTTTTGCTGTCAGCTTTTGTTCTTGCTCTATTAAGCTCCACCCATATTCCAAAGAATTCCATGTATTGTTGCTATGGTCAGAACCTTTCAACGTCTGATTCATACACATCCTTCCTTGTTTTTCTCTAGTCCACAAAAGTAATAATGGACTTTCTTTCCATGAATGAGGAGTCAGAGGTTTTACTTTGATGGGTTTCTTTCTCTTGATGGGAAATGGATATGTATATTTCATGGCTATTTGTGATGCTGTTGAGGAAGAGCTTGGCTGAGATAGTTGAAGAGAGAGGGCCTCCAGGCTTCAGACGTATTTCTTATGAAACAATCATTCCAAGGAAAGTGACTCCCAAGTTTGCACGTGAGGAACCAGAGCATGTGAGCTATTTACTGCAGATTGGTGGGAATAACCTAGTGGTGCATCTCAGACAGAAATGGGGTTTGGTCCCTAAACACTTCCCTGTGTTCTATTATGGTGAAGAAGGAGATCTCCAGATGGACCAACCTTTCATCCGAGACGATTGTTTTTATCATGGCTTTGTTCAGGATAAACCCTCCTCTCTGGTCACTCTCAGCTTTTGCTCAGGAGGACTCCGAGGTATATTGCAATTAGAAAAGAAGATATATGAAATCGAGCCAGTTGAGGCATCTGCTATCTTTCAGCATGTTGTATATTCTCTGGAAGAAGAACAAGGTTCTATCTCGATGAGATGTGGACTAACAAAAGAAGAGGAATGGTATCAAAAGGCCATTATGCCCAAAATGGAAAACCTACAGGATAGAAGTGCTTCCAAGTGGTGGCCACACACTAGGCATGCAGAAATTGCTTTTGTGATAGATTATGGACGATATTTAAAATTTAACAGAAATAAAACTCTAGTTGCTATGAGTGTAATAGATATTCTTCATATGGCAAATTCATTATATAAACCACTGTCTGTTAAACTGTCTTTAGCTGGACTGGAAATCTGGACCCAAAGGAATCCCATAAACCTTAAGTGGGACATACATAAGACCCTCATCTCTTTCACTGATTGGAGAAGACGATCACTACAAAAACGTCTAAGGAATGACGCTGCTCATTTATTTGCATTCAAGCATTTTAGTGACTTAGGATTAGCATTCACAGGAGGAATTTGTAGAGATGACTATGGAGCTGCTGTTATACAATACATAACCACAAGCCTGTTCACTATATCTTTAATATTTGTTCATGAGCTAGGACATAATCTTGGAATGAGCCACGACAGAAAATATTGTTCATGTGAAAAAGTTGAGTGTATTATGGCTGAAAACCTTTCAGGCTCTGATAAGTTCAGCAATTGTAGCTATCAGGATTATTTCAACAACAGAAATGCAAAGTGTTTACTAGATCTACCAAATCCAAGTAAAATATACACCGTCAGATTTTGTGGAAACAAGGTAGTGGATGGGAGAGAGCAATGTGATTGTGGTTCTGAAACTCAGTGCAGGTCAGATCCCTGTTGCCAATCTAATTGTATGTTGCGTCCTGGTGCTACTTGTGCATTTGGCTTATGTTGTGACAAGTGTCAGTATCAAGTAGCTGGAACTGTTTGCAGAAAGGAGACTAACAGTTGTGATCTTCCTGAATACTGCAATGGAACTTCTGAAAGGTGTCCTGAAGATGTTCATGTGCTGGATGGTTTCCCATGTGGTAATGGTGTATATTGTTATAATGGGAATTGCAACACTCATGACAAACAGTGCAAAACAATTTTTGGCAATACAGCAATAGCTGCTTCTGAAATTTGCTTCAGGGAAATGAATACCAAAGGTGATCGTTTTGGGAACTGTGGCCTTCAATATAAGAACTATAAAAAATGTAAAGTTGAGAATGTCCTGTGTGGCCGTATCCAGTGTGAAAATGTGAAAAGCTTGCCTTCTTTGGAGGAACACAGTACAGTAATTCAAACTTCCATTGACAATAAGCTATGCTGGGGTATCGACTACCACCTTGGAATCGACATCATGGATATAGGTGCCGTGAAGGATAGCAGCCCTTGTGGCAGTGGCATGATATGCATCCATCGGGAGTGTGTCAACATAGCCAGCTTAATGAATGATTGTAATGTCACAAACTGCCATAATCGGGGAGTATGCAATAGTCATAAACACTGTCACTGTGATTATGGCTGGAAACCTCCCGACTGTCAATATGAAGGCTCTGGGGGCAGCATAGACAGTGGACCACCTGAACAACTGGATGGACATTTTGTCGGTAGACATTTTGCAAAAATTAGAGTGATAGGAGGATTAATATATGGCCTTTGTGGTACTATTATTTCTGTTGCCATGGTTGTGCATTTCAGAAATAGACTAATTCACTTGTTTAGGAAACAGGGGGGCAAAATTCATCCAACAGAATCAACAGAAGAAGAATATCAAAAGTAAATCATAAACCATAACAGCATACCAGGTATCAGATATAAAGCTAGGAAGCAATGGATAGAGACTAGTGAACTAACTTGGGGGATGGCGTCTTAAGTGTTTAAATTCCATTTTAACATGATTTTTCTTTCAGATTGATTTATGAAAGACCCTTCTTTGAAAGGAAAAGTCTTCTGATATTCATTTTATTTAAGAGCCTCCTTTTTATCTGAATTTCTTTTTTTTTGAAAATTTTATTTGGGTTTTCACAAAAACAAAATACATCTTTTTTTGAAAATAGCATGGTCCCAGGTTATCACTTCTTCATACAGATCCAAAACTCAGTTTCATGCTCATTTTTATATTCTATTCCATATCTTATTACCGTTTTATATTTTCCACATAGTTTTCTCCCTCTTTTAATTTTCTCAACTTGATTTGTACCTGTATCGCAAAAGAGGTAAACAGTTCTAAAATTGATTCATAAATTTCAGTAGAAACTAAATCCTGTGATAGCCTTCTCCAATTGGATAGTCATAATACTAGGAATTCAGCTGGAAATGATCAATGACACTTCCAGAGATAAGTCTCTTTCATCATCTCTACTAGTAGCCCTACATCTTCTTTGTATTTTTTGTCCTCATTTGATAGAATAATCTTCTTCACACCAAGGATCCCTTGTATAATCAGCATGCTCTTCTTAGTAGGAAAAGATCACACAAGACTACTAAATAGGTCAGGAAGGCATTTTTAACAACTTTTAGTGCATACCTAATCTCGGTTGGAAACATGTGAAATTGTCTTCTTGAGATGTTTGTATCCAGCCTTGCCCTTTGTGGATTTCTGCAATATTACATTTATTTGTTTTCTTTTCTGTTTGTGAACTTCCCTGCCTTGCTACTCCTTTGAATATCCAGTGCCAAAACCAGCTCTTTGTTCTCATCGCTCCTGTTCAGAAACATCATACTTCCTTGTTTATTCCACATACTGCAACACTATTCATTTCTGCTTTTGCATTGACAGTCAAAAAGCTTGCATTACTTATTTGTCCCCAGTACATTTATGTTTTACTAATCCATTGATTTGCTTTCCAAAAATCCCTGGACATAAATAAAGCTTTCAAAATATCTTTTGATGTTTTCCTTCATAATATAGAATACCTAGAAGAAACTGCTGTCGTATTTCTTAATAGTTATTGCTTTCTAGACTGGAAGGAGCTGTTTCTTTCAAGGCATCTGCCCATAAAACCCACATGTATGCTTGACTCCCACTCCCCATCTTTCTCTGCTAGATTTATCATAGAAATTCACAGTGCTGCTGTTCCTAGAAAATCCAATTGACAGGCTTGAAAACCTTTTCTGGGAAAGATGACCATGGAAACAGCAACACATGGATTGAGAGGAAAAAGGAAGATGACAGCACTTCTCCAAGAACTGTAATAGCAATAGCAATAGCACTTAGGCTTATATACCACTTCACGGTGCTCTACAGCTCTCTCTAGGTGGTTTACAGAGTCAACATATTGCCCCCAACAATCTGGGTCCTCATTTTACCCACCTGGGAAGGATGGAAGGCTGAGTCAACTTTGAGACTGGTGAGATTCCAACTGTCAAATTGCAGGCAGCTGGCGGTCAGCAGAAGTAGCCTGCAGTACAGCACTCTAACCACTGTGCCACCATGGCTCTAATAGTTTGTTCAATCCACGTTGTGTGCCAAGTCAGTTTCTTTGACAACAGATTTTTTTTCCCTTTCATTCTTGCAGAAGCTTTCTCTTAACAAGTTTGGGAAGCCATTTAAGTTCAATATGAAAAGCCCCAGCCTAGAGGAGCAAATGGGGAAATAATATTTATACACGTGCTTTTATTTTAGGAGGGTGGTTGGAGTAGATATATACAGAGCTGCGTAACACTCACATACTTCCACCAATTCAGAATCCAACCATCCCGAGAAAATAATAAAAAAAAGATGGTGGTGGTGGTGATTTTCCCTATTCTTACAGTGAATGTCAGAGACTTTAGAAGGGGTACATTCCACTGATTTGGGATCTAACTAAAGGCTTTGGATACCTGGAGATACAGTTGGGCTGGTGGGGGAGTTTGCAGTCAGAGGTGTCAAGTCCAATAAATTTAACACTTCCAATTATTTGGTAAATCCCTTAGGTATCACTCAAAGAGCTTTGATTACTATTGCCTTAATGGTTGTGCCTTTTCTTCAAAAAACAAACAAAAACAAACAAGAAACCCTTGATTTTCTGTTTGTTTTTACTTTTTCCAATGGTTTTTCATCATATTGATTGTGTCCTAATATTGTTACAGTATATCTACAAATCACACTTTCTTATTTTTCAATAATAGCAATGCTGGCTATGGTGTCTTTCAGTTCCATGTTTCGAATTTTAAAATCCCACAAGATGTCTTCTGCATCCTTTCTAAAAAATTTCAGGCATATGGTCCTAGTAATTGTTGATAACCACACCAGGCCAAACTTTTCACATACGCTCCAATGTACAATTTTTGCAACTGTGTCTGATGTGGCTTCAACTCAGTTTGGGCAGTTTTGCTACAGCCACTAATGAAAATTATACTTTCAACTTTGATTTAACGTGGTTTAATCCCTGCTTATCTAGGGGTCAGTTGCTGGTGATCTGGTGTTCTGGTACCACTGACTATTATAACAATAAGATATCATCATAGTACATACATCAACTAAAGCCCTCCAAAATATAAACCAAAGTAAACCCAAAACCCGTTAACCCCATGGGAAAAAGAAAAACAGGAGTCATCTACAATATACAGGGTAATGACTGTAACAACTATTAGGTATGACAGACAACAAAAGACTAGGACAGCACATCCATGAACACCAATTAGCAGCAAGAAAACACAATGAAAACTCCATAATCCCACAACACATGGACAGACACAACCAGAATTTGAACGGGAAAACAGTCAGCATTCTAAACCAAGCTAATTCTCAAAGTGCAAGGGAATTCTTGGAAACTTAGTATTCAGACAATCACTTGGTCCTTAACATCAATAAGACCAAGGAGCTTATAGTGGATATAAAAGGGATAGATCAGATATCCAGCCCTTGCTTATCAGTGGAGACCAAGTGGAGCAAGTGGCTAGTTTTGAGTGTTACCATAAAAGAGGACCTGACCTGGGGTGCTCACATTGCAGCACTGGTGAAAAGGGCCCAGCAGATATTATACTACCTGAGACTCCTCAGGAAACAACAACTGAATGAAAAACTGGTGTGACCTTCTACCTCTGCACCATAGAGAGTTAATTTACTGCACCTGTGTATGGTTTGCCAATTGCACAGTGACAGATAGGACAGCACTCCAGAGGTGGTTAATGTCATTGCCCTCCCCCGTCCTTGGAAGAGCTTTATAGCTCCCACTGCCTTAAGAAAGTTCAAAACATTCTCAAAAATCCATCTCATCCTGGGCACTCTTTTTTTGAACTATTTCCATCTGGCAGACGGTACAGGATAATAAAAACAAGGACAAATAGGCTGAAAAACAGCTTCTATCCCAGAGCAGTAACTATTCCATTCATATTTTCTTCTAAGACTGATTAGATGGCTGGAAGCTTCTTCCACGAAAAAATCTAATTGGAGAGCATGATTGATGACTCTTGGCTATGGATGTTTTTTCATTGGATGATACACCCAGAGGGGTGGGGGGAAAAGCAGGATAAAGGGTGACAGTGAATTATATATCTCAGAGTTGGCTACTCCTAGATTAGTGCTAATGTCAAGCATCCAGACAGTATCCATGATATCAATCACTCCGAGACGTTATCTCTCCAATTGATTTATTAGGAACAGATCTGGCATGTTCAAAAGCAATTTCCCAAGTGAAAGCTTTTTCGCACACAGAATCCACCTTCTCTCCTCCCTTCTCTCCTCCCACTTCTACACTTCATAAATCACGAGAACCAATTAACTGCAACTGCAAATTCTTAATACAACACACAGAATAACCTTGAACTTTTCAACTCCTCTAACTCTCTTAAAATATATATATATATGTGGCAGCTGAATTTCAAAGCTGACAGCCGGAGGTAGAATGTTACCTTCAAATAAATCCTCTTTAGTTTTGGGAGTGTAACTCAAGGCTCATGATTTAATTGGAGTAATTGCTAGAACCCTGACAATAACATCTGCAGACCATTGGAAAGAAATAATGAAAAAAAGTTAAAAAAGGAAGCAAAGATACCAAAACATTCATTTTTGGAATCTATTTTTAGTAGGCTTTGGATCCCACTCAACATCAGATGCATAGAATCTAGAGAACCCAGTGCAATCTTTATTGAACAGAACAATTCTTCTTGTTGATCTTTCATGTGACATAAAAGTACAATCTGTTCAGCCTTTAAAATTGGGTTTATTTGTGCTAAGAGTGAAACCTTGTGGTCTTTAACAGATTCTCCCCAGTTCCCCAATAGTTATGAAAATTCTTAAGGCAAAGACTGAGCCACTTGGTATGAAAATGCCTCAGATCCTTTTATAGCCAAAGATGACCTGGAGGAAAGGAGGAAAAGCCAAATAAGTATTAATAAGAAATTATAAAGTTCAGCAGGTTATTGATTTTGATGTCTTACAAATCACACATCTGCTGGTGTGATAGGCTACTTCACTATCCGCTCAAATTATTGAACTTCAATTTATACCTTGGGCCAACCAGAGAAAATATACAGTTTATTCCTGTTAGATAAACTAGGGAGCACTAGGATATGAACAGCAGTTATTCTACATTGGTTGTTTAAACTCCGCCTCCATTCCAAAAATCTATTGCATTTCTGTTGCTACCGGTATGGTCAGAATCCTCATTTTTAAATCTTTAAACTCCTCTCCCTCTCTTCCTCTTCCTCTCCCTATCTCTCTCTCTCTCCCTCTCCTTTTGCAAAACAAGGTCAGCTTCTACCCTCATTCTGCAAAAATGAATACCTGTCTGTTATTGTTGAGTATGATATTGGTTAAGATCATCCAAAATGCAGCTTCTACACCGGCAGCTCCTCAAGGCTTCAGATATGCCTCTTATGATGTGATCATCCCAAGGAAGCTGTCCCCCAAATATGGCCAAGAAGAATCCCAGCATGTGAGCTACCTCCTGCACATTGA